TTATTTATTATTTATACTCATGATTTACATACATTTAAGTTATTTCTAATTTATGATAAAACTTTCTAGGGATGCGTTGCCATCAGTTTATGTTACACCAATGCTTCACTTCAACCTTGGGTTTGGCGAAACGATTGCATCAAATGGGTGCCTATTTATTCAGCCAACTAAACAAAATCAATCACCACCTCCCGTTACTAGAAGCATTTATGTGGCAAGGGTGGCATCACCATCGTCCACTGATAGATCTATCCATACAGCAAGCATCAATGGACTTAAAAACTGGTTTGAAGAAGCTGATAGGATAGTTTGCGAAGGAGATATTATAGCAATACCTACTGACGGTAAGTTATTTTATTTTTTTTTTTACATCGCCTTTTTCATAAACATTATCCGTTATTTTGCTACTGTTCATTAATAGAGGAAGCTGCACGGTTAAGACCACAGAAAATTGAAGGTGATATTGAGACATTAGAAGACATGGATATTGCAACGTCACCAATCAACCCTGGAACTGTAGTATATTTCAAAATTTCAGATATGAAACGCAAGAATGCGAAAATATGCTTGAAATATGGTTATGGCATGCGCGTAGATCATAATTGTACTGAAATGGTTCAAACTGGAATGGTACATTCTAAAGTGCCTTTCGTGAAACATTATTTGAATCCCAATGTTTCGAATCGATTAGATTTATATCCATTTCTAACCTCGTCAGAAACACCTCAGTCTCGACTTTTCAACCTTATTTCTTCGTGCCTACATCCAAGTGCTGTGTCACTTAATCTCAGCTGTACTGTTCTTTTACATGGTCCACGTGGCTGTGGCAAAAAGACAGCAGTCGAATGGATTGCCGAAAGAATTGGTGTTCACGTTTATGAAGTGAATTGCTTTGACTTCGCTGGTGAAACTGATACAAAAACAGAAACGTCTCTTCGTTCAAGACTTGATAAAGCTGTGACTTGTTCTCCTTGTGTGTTATTATTACGTCATATTGATGCACTTGCTAGGAAAAGTGCTATATTGGAGACTGGTCAAGAACCTACAATTTCTATTATCTTACAAGAATCTTTTAAACAACTGATTGAAAATTTCCAAACTATTGGATATCCAGTTTTAGTAGTGGGTACGACAGGTGATATTGATAAAGTACCTTCTAGCGTGATTGGTTGTTTTAGGCATGAAATTATTTTCGAAGCTCCATCCGAGTCAATAAGATTAGAAATTTTAAAGCAATTGACAAGTGAAACACCGGTCGCTCCGGATGTTTCGTTATCATCACTAGCAACACAAACCGCTGCATTAGTCGCTAATGATTTGGTGGATTTAGTTGGCAGAGCAGGCTTGGCTGCACTGGAACGCGTAGAAAATGTCGTGAAAAGAACAAAACAATCATTAAAAGATATTGATCTTATACATGCAGGAATTGCTCTAACGGCAGCTGATTTTGATGATGCTCTCGGCAAAGCAAGAGCTTCATATTCAGATAGTATTGGCGCCCCAAAAATTCCGAATGTGACATGGGATGATGTTGGAGGCCTTGCATCTGTAAAAAATA